TGGACAGTGGTGTGGAGAGATTGGGATGGACAGTGGTGTGGAGAGATTGGGATGGAGAGTGGTGTGGAGAGATTGGGATGGACAGTGGTGTGGAGAGATTGGGATGGACAGTGGATGGACAGTGGTGTGAAGAGATTGGGGTGGGCAGTGGTGTGGAGAGATTGGGATGGAGAGCGGTGTGGAGAGATTGGGATGGAGAGCAGTTTGGGCAGATTGGGATGGAGAGTGATGTGAACATTGGCAGATATGATCAGGGTCAATGGGGAGAAGGGGACCTGCAATAGAAGCTGTTGTAGACAGAGAGGGGGAAGCTGCAGAGAACATAATGTGGAAGGTGGATGGAGAGCTGTCCAGTGCAGTGGAGAATCCAGTGCACATACTGTGTAGTGCTGTGGACATCACTGAGGGAACAGTGTGTGGTGGAGATGCAAACACTAAAGCTGGCCATACACCAGCAGAATTAAGTACAAAAATACATTTATTTTCGGAATGTTATAACATTGGGTGTACACAGTTAGAATAAACTCATTCCGCCCTAAGAAGAGCACAAAGAACAGAATCTTATGACATAAGGCCGTAATTCGGCTCTAACAGCAGTCTGAAAAGCTTGAGGACTTCTAAATGATATGATATAAAATTCTGGTTAATGTAAATGGAGTGAACGCTCTAAATTTAGCATAGCTCCAATGTTTCCTAGTCAGCGTTGGCAGATCATGAATTCATTTTACTTTTGCCTTCTAACACCTTTATCCATTTTGCCTGCCAAGAAAAAGCAGCTAATATGGGCCCGGCTTTGTCACCTTCATTTATTATTAGAGATCCAATATTGAAAAGACGAGAAGCCAGGATTTGAATTTGGGAAAAGTTTGAATATGCGGCGTTAACTTTTTATAACTGTGCAAAATACCCGATGAAAGTTGTCTGTCTATAAAGTCTTCACATCTGCAGTTTAGAATTACTTATATACTATTTGGTACTTTTTTAGGTGCCAAGCATGCAAGTAGATATCGTAGACTATAATGTAACGTTTTTCAACCTTTTTTCAGTCGCGGCACCCTTTAAAAGTACACAAAATCTCGAGGCACCCCAGTGTAAAATGTAAAAAAAGTGATGCGTGGCCCCTACAAAATCCATAGCGGACCCCTATACGAGGTAGGAGTTGGATTTTAAGGGTGCACACCAAGAAAAAACACACACAAAAAGTGGGGTTTCCCTTTTACAGCCGAGTACCCCTTTATATAAGAAGCCCCCTTCACATCAGAGCTCCTCTTGCAAATTAGAATTCCCCTTTTACATCAGGCCCCCCCCCTTTTTACATCAAAGTCACCCCCTCTTCACTCCCTCTCACACTTGGAGTCCCCCTTTCCAAGAGAGGCCCCTCCTTTTACATCAAAGTCCCCCCTTTCACATCAGACTTCCCATTCACATCATAGTCCCCCTTCACATTACAAGCCCTCCCTTCACACCAGGAATCCCCCCTTCAAATCAGGAGCCCCCTTTCACATTAGGAACCCCTCCTTGAAATCAGGAGCCCCCTTTCACATCAGGAACCCCTCCTTGAAATCAGGAGCCCCCTTTCACATCAGGAACCCCTCCTTGAAATCAGGAGCCCCCTTCACAGCAGGAACTCCTCCTTCAAATTAGCAGCCCCCTTTACATCAGGAACTCCTCATTGAAATCAGGAGCCCCCTTTATATCAGATATGCGGCGTTAACTTTTTATAACTGTGCAAAATACCCGATGAAAGTTGTCTGTCTATAAAGTCTTCACATCTGCAGTTTAGAATTACTTATATACTATTTGGTACTTTTTTAGGTGCCAAGCATGCAAGTAGATATCGTAGACTATAATGTAACGTTTTTCAACCTTTTTTCAGTCGCGGCACCCTTTAAAAGTACACAAAATCTCGAGGCACCCCAGTGTAAAATGTAAAAAAAGTGATGCGTGGCCCCTACAAAATCCATAGCGGACCCCTATACGAGGTAGGAGTTGGATTTTAAGGGTGCACACCAAGAAAAAACACACACAAAAAGTGGGGTTTCCCTTTTACAGCCGAGTACCCCTTTATATAAGAAGCCCCCTTCACATCAGAGCTCCTCTTGCAAATTAGAATTCCCCTTTTACATCAGGCCCCCCCCCTTTTTACATCAAAGTCACCCCCTCTTCACTCCCTCTCACACTTGGAGTCCCCCTTTCCAAGAGAGGCCCCTCCTTTTACATCAAAGTCCCCCCTTTCACATCAGACTTCCCATTCACATCATAGTCCCCCTTCACATTACAAGCCCTCCCTTCACACCAGGAATCCCCCCTTCAAATCAGGAGCCCCCTTTCACATTAGGAACCCCTCCTTGAAATCAGGAGCCCCCTTTCACATCAGGAACCCCTCCTTGAAATCAGGAGCCCCCTTTCACATCAGGAACCCCTCCTTGAAATCAGGAGCCCCCTTCACAGCAGGAACTCCTCCTTCAAATTAGCAGCCCCCTTTACATCAGGAACTCCTCATTGAAATCAGGAGCCCCCTTTATATCAGGAACCTTCCTTTTACATCAAGAGCCCCCTTTCACATCAGAAGTCCTCAGTCCCCACCCTTCATATCAGGAGCCCCGTTCACATCAGAGTCCTCAGTCCACACCCTTCATATCAGGAGAGCCATTCACATCAGAGTCCTCAGTCCCCACCTTCATATCAGAGTCCTACCAACACATGAAGAGCCACAGCTGCGGCAGCATGGCCCCGGGTGGGAGACGGAGCAGATCTGATGAAGGTGAATGTCTGTTCTTTTCTGACTGGATCCCACCCACCCTGGATTACTGGCATTCATTATTATGATGCTGGTGACCAGCCCGTCTGCACCATGGTAAGGTATGACGCTGTGTGAAGATTTCAAGGCTCCCTTGAGCAAGCCAGAGAGCACCCTGGTTGAGAAAGTCTGCTATAATGCATTAAAAGAGGTTTTCATTGGTGATAAACCTTAAAAATCACATAAGAACACATAAAGGAAGTTTCATATGATTTTGTATACCCCATGTTTCACAGATCACAAATATTCTTTATTCTTCCATATGTAGCCTTATATACCCACTGCACAGCCCTCTATTACCATCAACCACTATTGACAGCAGTACAGCACTATATTAAACCAGTAGCTATTTCAGTTCATTGATGCTTATTCCTGCTGTGGGATGAGGAGAACTCAAAACTTTTCCCAAAAAAGACTTCTACAGGAGATATAGAAGATGTATATATTTCAAGAGAATCATACAATCAGTCATTCAACAAACCAAGGACAAACTCCCAACCAACAGGAGAACATAGAGGACATAAAAGAGGTCCTGGAATGCCAAAACTCAGATGGGGTTACAATAAATCTGCTAACCTGTATAGTAAGATATGCCAAATAAATCACTAGAGCCCAGCCACATGTTTGCAATTTTGGGTCCCAACATGTATATACAGTATGTATCAGGATCCCAGTGGCAACACCCAAATGAGGAGCAATATATCTGCTGGTGTAGTGCTCCAGAGGTCCCCCACCAGACCAGGGGTTGGCCTCCACCCAGCAGAGAATTCTATCTTCTTGATGACAGTTGACAACCCTGATTTACTTTGTGTGTGTGATTACTAGTAATAGTTGTGTTCTTTCTGTATATTTGTAGGCTCAAACTTTCCAATGAGGAGATCAAGAAAGCCATCATGGAGATGGATGAACAAGAGGACCTCCCGAAAGACATGTTGGAGCAGGTGTGTTCATAGTGTAAACTGGGACAGCACAGAGGAGGAAAGGTTCCAAGTAAAAATCATTTATCTGTTAAATAAAAGGCTAGGCCTTGCAGTCCGGTATAAAAAATGTCCCCCGTTCTTAGCCAAATGGTCTAGCCCAATAGGCGGTGTGCAGAAAAAAACAAGTGGTGTAATGGCCATCGTGTCATTTACACAACGGGGTCCCAAACCTATAGTGCTACTTGGGCACCCCCAAGGCGCCACTCCCAGGGGGAGCTTGACACAGAGGGCTCCCTTTCTTCCCAGCCCATGATCAGACCAGGTAGACTCATTCAAGCTAAGAGTTCCTGGACCCTGCCAGATGGCGCACCTAGGGAAGTACTCCCGAACCCCACTCTTACATAAGTGGATGCTTCATTCGGTTTCCTTAACCCCAGCCATTCACACCTGAGTTCCCTTTACAAAAGAGTCCTCAGTCCCGACCTTCATATCAGAGTCCTACCAACACATGAAGAGCCACAGCTGCGGCAGCATGGCCCCGGGTGGGAGACGGAGCAGATCTGATGAAGGTGAATGTCTGTTCTTTTCTGACTGGATCCCACCCACCCTGGATTACTGGCATTCATTATTATGATGCTGGTGACCAGCCCGTCTGCACCATGGTAAGGTATGACGCTGTGTGAAGATTTCAAGGCTCCCTTGAGCAAGCCAGAGAGCACCCTGGTTGAGAAAGTCTGCTATAATGCATTAAAAGAGGTTTTCATTGGTGATAAACCTTAAAAATCACATAAGAACACATAAAGGAAGTTTCATATGATTTTGTATACCCCATGTTTCACAGATCACAAATATTCTTTATTCTTCCATATGTAGCCTTATATACCCACTGCACAGCCCTCTATTACCATCAACCACTATTGACAGCAGTACAGCACTATATTAAACCAGTAGCTATTTCAGTTCATTGATGCTTATTCCTGCTGTGGGATGAGGAGAACTCAAAACTTTTCCCAAAAAAGACTTCTACAGGAGATATAGAAGATGTATATATTTCAAGAGAATCATACAATCAGTCATTCAACAAACCAAGGACAAACTCCCAACCAACAGGAGAACATAGAGGACATAAAAGAGGTCCTGGAATGCCAAAACTCAGATGGGGTTACAATAAATCTGCTAACCTGTATAGTAAGATATGCCAAATAAATCACTAGAGCCCAGCCACATGTTTGCAATTTTGGGTCCCAACATGTATATACAGTATGTATCAGGATCCCAGTGGCAACACCCAAATGAGGAGCAATATATCTGCTGGTGTAGTGCTCCAGAGGTCCCCCACCAGACCAGGGGTTGGCCTCCACCCAGCAGAGAATTCTATCTTCTTGATGACAGTTGACAACCCTGATTTACTTTGTGTGTGTGATTACTAGTAATAGTTGTGTTCTTTCTGTATATTTGTAGGCTCAAACTTTCCAATGAGGAGATCAAGAAAGCCATCATGGAGATGGATGAACAAGAGGACCTCCCGAAAGACATGTTGGAGCAGGTGTGTTCATAGTGTAAACTGGGACAGCACAGAGGAGGAAAGGTTCCAAGTAAAAATCATTTATCTGTTAAATAAAAGGCTAGGCCTTGCAGTCCGGTATAAAAAATGTCCCCCGTTCTTAGCCAAATGGTCTAGCCCAATAGGCGGTGTGCAGAAAAAAACAAGTGGTGTAATGGCCATCGTGTCATTTACACAACGGGGTCCCAAACCTATAGTGCTACTTGGGCACCCCCAAGGCGCCACTCCCAGGGGGAGCTTGACACAGAGGGCTCCCTTTCTTCCCAGCCCATGATCAGACCAGGTAGACTCATTCAAGCTAAGAGTTCCTGGACCCTGCCAGATGGCGCACCTAGGGAAGTACTCCCGAACCCCACTCTTACATAAGTGGATGCTTCATTCGGTTTCCTTAACCCCAGCCAGGACCGATTGGGCCCCCCATTAACTCAGGCAGGGTACTCTGCAGCCAGCCATGCGTACCCTAAGACCGGAACAGCGGCACTCCTGATCAATAATACTTAGCCAACATGAATGGGTGGGACAATCCATGCAGCATCCTCAGTATAATTACAACAAGCTCCCTTATATGGGGGCGGGTCCCAGACCACTACCTACACTCACTGACAGAGAAGTGATAAAGACTGGTCACCCACGCAGGGGGGATCTGGCACCATGATATAACCTGAAGCTCTGGCAAGAGTTACAAATGCCCAGAGACAAATCACATTGCTTTCTTTGAGCGAGCACATCGCTCCTTCACATCTGCGATCTTTGTCTCCCGCCAAAAGTGAAGCTTTCAAAACAAGTCAACAATGTCGGCTCCCATATTTCCACCCTCACAGGGTCACTTTACCTGCCAAGCTAAAGAAGTCGATTTCTTCATGTGGACGTTAAAAGGTTTCCTTACTTTATAAAGCGCAGTCAGCTATGGAAAAAAAACGCCAAGCGCGCAATGTGTTATCCGCAGGATTCGGTAGCTCCTCAACTAAAATGGGAGTTTTTATTGACTAAGTTGGTGTTGTTTTACACACAATACTTTCTTTGTGGTCTGCAGCCCCTCAGACAAGTCCCGGGCCAGAGTCTATCCTGCACTAATGAGCTCTAAGTGAGACTTGCAGACTGTCTGCTGTCTCCCAGCTTCTGGTTTGGCAGCGGCAGAAATTCGCTTTTTATCATTTCTATAGAAAATATTGGCTGTGGAGATTGCTGTGAAATTATACATCAGCCGCTGCTGGCTTGTAGGATGCAGAGCTGTAAAAGTCGGGGGAAAGCTAAGCACATCTTGAGGACAACATTCGCTGTCCATTCGCTCCCAATATCTGAGTCTTCAAACCAGCGTATGCTCACAAGGATGTTAGGCTAAGATTTGCGTCTGCATTGTGGCGAATGTGCAGAGGAGGCTTGGGGGGATCTAACGCAGAGAATTTCCTTTGGGGAGTCATTGATTAAATCTGTAACAGGCCATGTGAACACGGTGAATGCAACATTGGCTGTGATAAAAATATGGCCAATGTCACCGTGACCTGAATTTCCCAATAAATCATTCAAAAACCAAAAGGAACAATTCCGCCTAATAATTTATAGTACTGCCACTTTGTCTGCAGTGTTATTATCATTATTCACACATAATTATTATAATACATTTATATAGCTCTGACATATTCTGAAGTGCTGTAAAGAGAACACTAACCTGGTCACATCAGTCTCTGCACCAGAAGAGCTTACACTCTAACCCCCCCCCCACAGTCACACACTATTATTATACATTTATATAGTTCTGACATATGCCATAGCGTTGCACAGGGAACACTGAGCCAGACACATCAGTCTCTGCACCAGAGAGAGCTTACACTCTAATGTCCACTCACAGTCTCACACTATTATAAATAGAGATGCACCGATACTGGTATTTCGGTATCGAGTACGAGTGCCGATATTTTTTTTCCCGGTACTCGCCGATACCGAAAGTCCGATTGAGGAAGCCAGGTGGTGTGTAATGACTCGCCACCTGGCTTCCTGATTAGCAGGGAAGCCGTCCCCATGCCTCTCGTCACTAGGTGATGTGAAAGCATGGAGCAGTAATGACGCGGCAACCGGCTTCCTGATTGGCAAGTCATTACGCTGTGACAATACACAAGTGACAAGGAACCATGGAGCCGGCTTCCCTGCCAATCAGGAAGCTAGGCAGCGTGTAATGACGCGCTGCCCGGCTTCCTTCCTGATACTGGAAGTATCGGGCTAGGCCTCGGAGCATTTGCACGAGTACCGGTATCGGTGCATCCCTAATTGTTATTATACATGTATATAGCTCTGATATATTCTGTAGTGCTGTACAGAGAACATCAAATTATTCACATCAGGCTCTGCACCATAGGAGCTTACACTTTAGCCACCGTCCCATACTTAAGAGTCCTACTGACAGGCAGTAAAAGGAAAAGTGGAGGAGATATACTGTATATGTATATATAAAATGGTGTTTGCTCTTCATGTATTCCTAAGAAGAGACTCGGGTGTGGAGTTGATACATTCCAGAATTGTGATTTATTTCACAGCAGTTGTATGTACTGGGAGAGGGAACATTGACCGTTTTGTCTTCTGATACAAATGCCGGCACTGATAAGTGAGACACTGACAGCTGTATGTAAGAATGATGTTCATACCGAAGACTAGACGACTACTTTTAATATAACCAGCTCTGGTCATAGAGGAAGTCATTCATTTCTCTGCATATGTCCCCGACCGCCGCCAGTGTCACACGTGTCATGATTTCAGTCTGGATAGTCTGTAAGATGACCGCTATCCGGACAGCTTGCGGCAACAGACATTACTAAGGGGTGGAAGGTCAGAGGGGGGCAGACGTGCGGCACGAGGATCTCACTTAGTATTTATTAAGTGATGTTACCCCGGGGCGTAGTCTGATACATTGGATCTGTGTTCAGGGTCTACTTAAATGAATATCCTGCTTCTTTTCAAAGACAAAGCTTATTGAATGTGCCTTGTGAGTCCGACACAAGAATGTGACATCACTGTATTATAATTGTCCCTTTTTTATTTTTGGTGGTGGCTCAGGAATGATCAGTGAAAAGCTTTTTTTAAAAGGTCAGTCCACCCAAAAGTTCTATTCTGATTTTTGGTAGCTGTTGGAGGGTTAAACCCCCTCACAGTCTCTTCTGTCACCTGGGGACTGTATTGGTGAAATCTCTATGTGGATTCCTAGGTCTGTACACCTGCTGTGCCCCTTATGAGGGACTCCAACCATCCTTGTGCTGAGTTCCCGGGTCTGTACACCCGCTGTGCCCATTATGAGGAGCTCCCACCCTCCCTGTACTGAGTTCCCGGGTCTGTACATCTGCTGTGCCCATTATGAGAGGCTCCACCATCCCTGTACCGAGTTCCCAGGTCTTTACATCTGCTTTTCCCATTATGGGGGGCTCCCACCATCCCTGTACTGAGTTCCTGGGTCTGCACATCTGCTGTGTCCATCATGAGGGGCTCTCACCATCCCTGAGCTATGTTCCTGGGTCTGTACACCTGCTGTGACCATTATGAGGGGCTTACACCATGTCTGAGTTGAGTTTATGGGTCTGTACAGCTGCTGTGTCCATTATGAGGGGTTCCCACTGTTCCTGTACTGAATTACTGTGTCTGCAAACCTATTGTATCCCAGTTTGAGGGTCTCCCACCACCCCTGCATTGAGTTCCTGAGTTGTATTATTGTTTATTTTAATAAATAAAATAAAAGTGCATGTAAAGCCAAAGGAGAGCGAGAAACAATGCAACTGGTGTCGCAGTTAGATTTCCCTTTTACACCAGTTCCTAAGACAACTCCAACATTCTGAATTTCCCATCATATTCTGGGTGACCAGGACAAAACAGAGAGGTGAATCTCCCCAGCGAGGACAGAGATGACAATAAAACGCTTAGAAAGGTTCTTGCCCTTCCACAATCCATCCAAAACTAAACAAAGAAAGAAGTTTTGTCTGTACATGCACTTTAAATACCATTATTTTGAATCTAATCAAAGGGTCTGCCTTTGTGTTGTCTCACCAGCTCTTGAAATTTGTACCCGAGAAGAGCGACATTGACTTGCTGGAGGAACACAAGCACGAAATTGACCGCATGGCGAGAGCAGATCGATTCCTGTTCGAGATGAGCAGGTAAGGCGGCAGGTGACCCTCTTATTGGGGTTTGCAGGGACTGGTTGTGTCCCATAATAACATGGTGCGTTCTGTGTATACCATGCTTGCAGTATAATCATTTTTTTATTTTCTAATCTAAAATATAGATGCCAACATTCTAACCTAAATAGTTATTATCAGGGTGATCATTTACAGCAGCCATGAAGGGTGATGATGCCATGAAGGGAAATAAACAGGTCCATTTAAATGGCCACCCTACACGCTGCACATACTCTCCTTTCTTTTGCTCCCCTTCTGCTCTGTTCAGCCTCTGGGAATGAAGAAGAATATCAGATACTTCCAAGTATGAAAGAGCATTAAACTCACTCCTCTGCCAGCCATGTGACATTGCTGGTGCTTGGTGATTGGCTGCTCAGACACCCACTGCTGTCAATTGGTGGTGGGGAGGAGTCATCAGCCCTCTGTAAGCTCTGCATGGACAAGGCATTGGTTCACTTTAAGTGGTTATTAGTATTAATCAATTGCAATATTGTGACTGGTTTTCAGATGACAAGAAGGACACTTTTCCTGCCTCCAGCTCTCAAACAGTTTTAAATTAATGTTTTTAATTCGTTTAGTTGCCCCCCAAATAGAAATATCCTCTTCTGATACCATAACGGCTCTGTCCTCTCCTCCAGGATCGACCATTACCAGCAGCGGCTGCAGGCTCTGTTTTTCAAGAAGAAATTGCCAGAGAGGCTGGCGGAGACCAAACCCAAGGTGGAAGGTGAGCGGAAACAGCAAAGGGAACCTGTCACGAGAACATACAGTACAAGAAGTAGAAACACAAAGCCACACCAATATGTGTACAATGATTTACAGTGTTTCTGAGATGTGTGTGCTCATTTCTTACTGTCACCTGGAAATGGGGGGCATGGAGTACAGGCTACAAAATCTTAAAACTGATTAAAGGGCCATTTCACCCAAAACTGATGTTTCAGTGCAGGGGCGTAACTAGAAATCACAGGGCCCCATAGCAAACTTTTGTATGGGGCCCCGTGATTAGTTATGCCACTTGCAGAGCCCCAGCGGAGAGTGACCCTGCAGAGACCCTATAGACTCTCTATAGTGGGCTCTGCAGGGTCTGAGATCTCTTACCTGTCAGCGCCTCTGTGGTCGCCAGGCCCCGACTTCTGTTCCGTCCCCGGGCCCCGCCTCCTCTTCTATCGACAGGCCCTGCCTTCTCTTACATCACTGGCCCCACCTGCTCTTAGGTCGCTGGCCAGTGATGTAAGAGGAGGCGGGCCCCGCCTCCTCCATTCCGAACACCGCCCTCATCTGCCGCAGCGGCGGGCTGTCACTGACACAGCTCCGCAGCGGCTATGAGAGGAAATGTGCCGTGGCCGCTGCTGAGCTGTGTCTGTGACAGCCAGCACCCCCACATGCCATAGCGACCCGGGCCCCCCTGTGCACGGGCCCCATAGCGGCCGCCTGGGTCGCTATGGCTATTGTTACACCACTGTTTCAGTGTTATTGGATGCTGCAGAAATAAACAACCTAACAGTTTCCTGACCTCTGTTGGTAACATTTATATGTCCCTGCTGTGCCCATTATGAAGGGTTCTTGCCATCTGGGTGGCTCAGGAATGATCAGTGAAAAGCTTTTTTTAAAAGGTCAGTCCACCCAAAAGTTCTATTCTGATTTTTGGTAGCTGTTGGAGGGTTAAACCCCCTCACAGTCTCTTCTGTCACCTGGGGACTGTATTGGTGAAATCTCTATGGGGAATTCCTAGGTCTGCACACCTGCTGTGCCCATTATGAGGGATTCCACCATTCCTGTGCTGTGTTCCCAGTTATGTACACCTGATGTGCCCATTATGAAATGTCCCCACTATCCCTGAGCTGAGTTCCCAGGTCTGCACACCTGCTGTTGCCCATTATGAGGTATTCCCACCATCCTTGTGTTGAGTTCTTGGGTCTACTCTGCACAGCTGCTGTGTCAATCAGCTCTGTGCTGAGTTCCCGGGTCTATACATCTGTTGTGCCAATTATGAGGAGCTCCCACCATGCCTGTGCTTAGTTCCCGGGTCTGTACACCCGCTGTGCCAATTATGAGGAGCTCCCACCATCCCTGTGCTGAGTTCCCGGGTCTGTACACCTGCTGTGCTCATTATGTGGTGTTCCCACCATCCCTACACTGAGATCCTGGGTCTATACATCTGCTGTGCCCCTTTTGAGTGGCTCCCACCATCCTTTCTTGATTTGCATTTATTTTATATGATAGCGCATGCAACAGGAAAAGCTGGAACACCCACAAGGTGGACAGAAACAGAGCCTGGGAATTATGGCAGGGGGACATACAACAGGCCATTGGGCGTCCCAGCTTACCAGACCCCCCAAAACCCAGTTTCTGGTATACGGACCTGTTTTTCATGCTGGATTTGAAAAGGAGTTTGTTTTTTGTCTTCCAAGCTCTCCTCATGGCGTGTAAGGAACTGACCCGGAGTAAGCGGTTAAAGCAGCTCCTGGAGGTGGTGCTGGCGTTCGGAAACTACATGAACAAAGGACAGCGAGGAAACGCCTTTGGGTTTAAAGTCGCAAGCTTGAACAAAATCATTGACACAAAATCCAGTATAGACAGGTGAGCCAAAGCAAATTAATTTTCTTCAATTGAGTGACAGCTGGAGATGAGCGGGAATCGTCATTTCGTGGCACTGACTAGTTTATTTAATTTACATCATAAAGATTTAATGGGATTTAAAGTACTTCAAGCAATACAGCCATCGGTGATGCTGAATGTGATGTAAATCTTGTGATGTTAAAGGAGAAGACTCTGATGTAATGGGGGGGGGGGGGGA